TTTTATCAGCGTAGATAGAATCGCAGATGAGTATGTGGAAGTCTCTCTGTTGAACAGATAATCCAGCGGTGGAGCGTGATGGTGACAACGACTTGTTTACATGCATGGGAAAACACAGCTGGGAAGACTACATATATGAAACAGCTCTCAGGTTGGATCCCATCCCATCTTTCTAAGATGCCCCGTCACCTAACCGCCACTGAACTTCGCCCTTCCAACATCACAGTCTCTTTGAGTTCAGCGTTGACACTGCTCAATGAGCTCAATGACGCATTTGGCCCACCTTTCATTCAGCCCATTTCGTGCATCACTTTGTCCTTGATCACAGCGATACAGGTAATGAGTTCAGTGAATGGGATTCTAGTAATCTTATCGTATGCTATAGAATGTGAAACACAAAAAAAAAAGATTGTTTCCGACTCATAGAAAACCTCCACCAAGTCTTGTACACAATTGTCAACCTTCATATGGAATCTGAAACTCCTGGATCCGTACCTACCTCAATGCTGGATCACATTGGGAAATTCATGGAGTAAATGGTGTTCATCTGGAAAGTCTTCTTTGTGGCTGATTGCCTCATAGGACTCTGCACAAGATATATACATTTATTGAAGCACAACAGGAAGGGAACAAGATCAAACAGCTCTTTCGTCAGAGTGAGATGAATGTGTTGCTCAAGGATTGTCAGGCTGGACTGCTTCAGGCTTTTGAAACGTTCAAGGTATGATCGAAATCATATTATTCTGACTGGCATTCACCCAGAGGCAGATTGAGACTCGATCTGCAATTTTAAACAGCATTGAGGAAATGAAGAAATATACAGAGAATATGCACAAGCACCTGCTTGAATTGATCTCGACATTGTCTGATGGGGACACTTCTGACAGGTCATCCTCGGTGTGTCCGTTCTTGTGTGACGTTGAATTCACAGCTGATTTTCTGAAATAGATATACTCTGTAGCACATGACTCACGGCACAGGTATGTAGTTAGTTATAATTTGACAAATACTCACCCATTCTTAAGCTCAAATTCATTTTCAATCCTACCGGCAGAACCAAAGATATTTTATGGTCGTGAATCTGAACTAGAGCATGTAATGGGGATCCTTGCCCAGCCCTCACCTCCAATAGCCATCCTAGGAGGTTGTGGAATGGGGAAGACAAGCCTTGCCCAAGTGGTTCTCCATCATTTGGACACATTGGAGAAATTCAAAAACAGATTTTTTGTCAGTGCAGAATCTGCAAAAAACAGCATTGAGCTGGCAGCACTCATAGGATTACATGTTGGACTGAATCCTGGTCATGACCTCCCTAAGCCAGTGGTTCAACATTTCCTGAGGCAGCCACCATGCCTCCTGATTTTGGACAACTTGGAAACAGTTTGGGAACCAATCCAGTCTCGAGGGTCAGTTGAAGAATTCCTGTCCCTGCTCACAGATATTTCTCATGTGGCATTGATTGTGAGGGTTGATTTAATTCTTCAATTCAAGGTGCTCACATTATGCTGGAGATCACAATGCGGGGTGCAGAAAGACCAACAAAAGTCCAGTGGTCTCATCCATTTCTCCTGCCTCTGCAACCTCTGTCCAATGATGCGGCTCAACAAACCTTTATGGATATTACAGATAATTCATATGCAACCAAGGAGATAAACCATCTCCTCAAATTCACAGATAATATGCCACTTGTGGTGGATCTTGTGGCTCATCTGGTAGACTATGAGGGGTTGTCAAATGTCTTGATGCGGTGGGAGACTGAAAAGACATCCTTGCTTTCGATAGGCTATGACAGACGGTCGAATTTAGATGTCTCGATAGGTCTCTCTCTCTCAAGTCCCCGCATTACACCTGGTAGCAAGGAATTGTTGAGTCTGCTCTCAATTCTTCCAGATGGACTTTCAGACTTTGAACTGGTTCAAGGGAATCTCTCAATTCCTAATATTCTTGCCTGCAAGGCCATATTGCTCGCCACTTCATTAGCATATCAAGACAGCAAGAAGCGGCTGCGGTCATTGATGCCAATCAGGGAACACATTCAGCAATTTTCACCTCCATCCTCTTTTCTTACACATTCGCTCTGCAAACATTTCTATTCACTTTTGGAACTATATCAGAGATATGATGGAGAGCAGCTACGACCTATTGTCAGTCAAATAACTTTGAACCTGGGGAATTTGCAAGAAGTTCTGCAACGTGCATTATGCAGCAGCAACCCTAATCTGGAGGATGTAATATATTGCATATTGTCTCTGAACTCGTTCTATCGGATCACTGGACGTGGTTATATGGAATTAATGAATTGTGTTCCCTCCATTTTCCCCCAGAACTGTGGACACAGACTGGAGACAAGCTTTTTTATAGAGGTGATTTTTTCAAGGATAAATACTTCAAGTGTAGAGCCAAAAAGTGTGATTCCCAGAGCCCAATCTCACTTTCAGCATTTTAATGATCCTATTCTTGAGTGTAAGTCCCAAACCACCCTTGTGATGATGTCATATCAACTCTATTTGATATAGGTAGATTCTATTGGGCAGCTGCAACTTATTTTGCTGACTTTGAATTGGATCTACCTCGTGCAAGGCAATTTCTTGATACAGGCCTTGAACTTTCAAAGTCCTGCGGTGACACCTATCAGCAGTGTAATATGCTGCTCAACATTGCTGAGCTCAAGTGGAGGGTTGGAGATCATTGCACCGCCAAAGTACATGCCGGTGAAGCACAGAGGATATTAAAATTGTCTGCCAATCTGTATCAGAAAGCCCAGGTGTGCCGGATTCTGGCTATGTGTTCAAGAAGTGCTGGGAACTGGCAGGAGAGTATGACCCAACTCTTCAGGGCCAGAGAGTTTCTTGGTCTTTGCGGCCTGTCTGGAGGCAGCACCGATCACGAAATTACAATTGCACAGGCAGATATCCATCTTGTAAAATCTGAATACGTTGAAGCAAGGTGCCTTTACACAGAACTCCATCAGAACACTTCCCTTAATGTCCACTTTCATGCAAATGCACTGCTCAATCTTGCAGGAATCTATGTAACAACTGGCAGACCCGCAAAAGAGGTGTATCAAACCCTGGGCAAAGCCAAGGAAATTTACAACAGTTTGGATTATTGGGCAATCATCTTTTGTGATATGATTGAAGCAGATCTAGAGCTCAGAGAGCAGAAGCTTCAGTTGGCAATGGTCAAATTCCACAAGTACTTGTGTTCAACATGGGGAAAGGACATGGAGGTTGTGTCCTACTGCCTGGAAAGACTTGCCAACAGAAAGGCTTGGGAAAATTCTGTCCTGGAATCTTTTTGGCCTGTGATATACCTGGCATATGCTTGCAACTCAAAAGATAAATTGGCACTGCATAAAGCACTATGCTTTATTGGAGATGTCTTCAGCTCAAATGAGGATGACAATACAGCACTCAGTCTCTTCACCGTGGCTCTGGAGGGATTCACGTCTATGGATGTGCATCACAGTCGTGCGTTATGTATGCTGCACCTCGGAGATCTTGCAAACAAAAGGGGAGAAATCTCAATGGCTATTGAGTTTTGGAAGTCAGCTAGACCCCTGTTTGAGCGATCATTGCAAGCTAAAGATGTAGCCAACATTGACTCCAGGCTCACCACTCTTGACAAAGCTCAGGAAAGGTTTGCAGAATTGCACCCACCTGTCCAGCCATTGGAGCAGCTTTCAATTTCCAATGACAGCAGATCAGCTGTTGAAGTTGAAGTTGAGAGTGGTACAAATGCGGTTGAGGCTATTGTTAGCATTGCATTGTGATGGTCGAAACCTTTATTTCAGCCTTAAAACAATTTCTTTCATTACCCTATTCATGCACCTATGGTGGTCAATGTATGCTTTTATTATTTTGAGGTATATATCTGTGTTTTGACAACTTTTTCGGAGTCGGAAAGGCCTCTCTTTCTATTTGTAACGTGACCAGTCGCATTCCTAGCGATCACAAAACAACACCAAACAACAACAAAAAACCAGTCTCCAGCTGGTTTTCCACAGCTCAGTAAGGTACCCCACACTATCTATGGAGCTTAAAGATACCATGTGTAGTAGTCCTATCTTTATGTAGCAGACATAGTACCAACATAGATCTGCTGAAGTGAAATCACCGGAGTTTTCACATTGAGCAATCTCCTTGCATGGCAGGAATCAAATCCCTAGTTCGACTCCAGGCTAGGTCATATTGGAGGTCCAAAAAGTTTTCATTTGATTTGTGGTTCTTGCCGCTTCAAAATTGTAGCCATGTTACGGGTCAAAGTGAGGGAAAGACAACCCAGTAGCAGAGGGACCATGCCTGCTTTTGGTGAAAAAATCGAAATATAATGGGAGGTAATACCTGGTTCAACTCCAGGCTGGGTCACTCTTTTGCTATCTTTTTGTTTCATTCATGGTTTTCACTGCTCCAATTTCTCTTATCTGTTCAGGTTAAAAATTTGAGGGAACAAGACCTAGTAGCGGAGGGCCCGCACCTGCATCCAATTCTGTTATACCTGAGGATTCAGCAGGAAGCAATAAAACGAGTCCTGGTTCAACTCCAGGCTAGGTCATAGCATCATCCCCCACACCTTTTTTTATTTGCTCATGCTTTGCATTGCTTCAAAGTCTCTGCTATGGTATGGGTCAAAGTGAGGGGAAGAAGACCTAGTATAAGACAGACTGCACCTGCTTTCATTGTGTGTATTTCGATGCATAAAGCAGAAAGTAACTCCTGGTTCAACTCCAGGCTAGGTCATGAGCATTCTTCACACCTGCTTTTTGTTTGATTCGTAGTGAAAATTCTCTAATATATCACAGGTTAAAATGGAGGGAAAGCAGACCTAGCAGCAGAGGGCCCGCACCTGCTTTCAATAGCACATCCTCCGTCAAAGTGGGAACTAATTCCTGGTTCAACTCCAGGCTAGATCATACAAGTTCTTCTGAGAGCTTTTATCCAATTTGCAGATTTGCTGCCTCAAAGTCCTGCATAAATTAAAGTTGAAATCGAGGGAAAGAAGACCTAGTAGTGGAGGGACCACACCTGCTTTCAGTGCATAAGAAGGCGAAATTATGCTGGAGGAATCCCTGGTTCGACTCCGGGCTAGGTCATGGTAGCTAATTTTCAATCCTTTTTGGTTGAATTTGTGGTTCACATTGCCTAAGTTCTGCATGAATTAGGGTCGAAATTGAGGGCAGGAAGACCTAGTAGTGGATGGACTGTGCCTGCTTTCAGTGGCCTAGATGGGATCACATTATGCAGTGGGAATGCTCCTGGTTCGACTCCAGGCTAGATTGATTACACACTTCTCATTGAACACTTTTTGTTTGATTTGCACTTTCAAGTCCATAGATGAATTAAAGTTGAAACTGAGGGAAGGGAGAGCTAGTAGCGGATGGAATACACATGCTTTCAGTCACTATGATTATGTGATTCTGGACAGCGTAAAATCCCTGGTTCGACTCCAGGCTAGGTCATGACTGGTACATGCAACCCTTTTTATTTACTAGCTGATGAAAATTCTTCAACATATCAGAGATCGAAAGGCAGGTAATGAGACCTAGTAGCGGACGGACCATGCCTGCTTTCAGTGTAGAAATCAAAGTAAAATGGCAGGACTTAAAATATAATCACTGATTATATTGTAAAATAACAATACAATCACGAGAAAATCAGTTGATAATTTGGTGAAATCTTGAAAATAAAACTGTAATAAATCCTCATTGAAATCAGTGATTACAATGTACTTTGCCTGCAGTAGAGCATATTTGCAAGCCCCAAAATCGACACCATATTTCTGCCATCACCCTCTGTTTTTACCCGATGTCAAGTGACTGATGTGACCAAAACTGCTCTGCATCCCAGTTATAAGCCCATATATGAGGCAAATAAATCCTTTGAAGCTGGGAGTATCTACGAAAGTCCTCATGTATCAACCCAGGAAAAAAATGGTATGTCTATTGCTTTTTTGGCGGGAGCTGTGCATTTTGCCGTTGTTTGCCGAGGACCTGTTGCCATTTCTGGTGTCACATATTTCTGCCATCAGGCTTCATTTTTCCGATCAAACGAGTGATTTGGGGGCTGCAAATATGCTCTAGTATGTACCGAGATTCAATCCAAAGTAGCAGTAATGCTGTACCAAAATTGTGTTCCATGTGCTCCCTGCATAGCCTCAACTATCATGTGTGCCCAGAACCAGATATGGGACTGCCAAGAACCTGCAAAACTCTATTAGAGGCTATGAAGGGGATTCACCATATGCAGACCTTGGTGGGTGATAAGTTGAGTAGTTGTGGTAAAGACCCTCAATCTGATGGTCTAATCTCTTGCAGAGCTCAGACTAGAGTTAAGATATTCTTTGCTCCAATATATCTGATTTGTACTCACTTTGATGAGTAGAGACTAGACCTAGATGACTTGTCAAGTCAGAAGGGTCCTAGATGCAATATTCATAAGAATCAGTGAGTTTTGTAAAGAAAATAGAGCAAATAAGTGTTGCCTATGTGCAGTGCCCAGTCGGAGAGTCTTGACGAGTGCTTGGAGTGTGCAGGTGATGGTTTGTGATAAGAGTGTAGAATAATATTACATAATACTGAGCACATGATTTGTAGCTAAAGACACTGGTTGAGAATTTCAAATTTTTCAGTGAAAAAATTGGTGAAAAATGTTATTTATTTTTCAGACATTTTTTACTGAAGAAGGTGAAAATTTTAAAACTTTTTCAGCACTTTCTTGATTCAAGGTGAAATTTTCGAAATAAAGAAAGTACTGAAGATGTTTTAAATTTTTCACATCCTTTTTCAGGCAAAAATGTCTGAAAAAATAAACAACATTTTTCACCAATTTTTTCACTGAAAAATTTGAAATTCTCAACCAGTGTCTTTAGCTACAAATCATGTGCTCAGTATTATGTAATATTATTCTACACTCTTATCACAAACCATCACCATTTCAACAGTTCAGCTTTAACATTGACACAGGGCCTTTTGCTAATTTGTCATAAATAACTGACCAAGGTAGAGCTTAAGCACCCTGTTTGAGTATCACAACTGGTCATTTGAAGTCAGAAACCAAAGTACAAAGTCAAGCATAATGCTAGCAACAAAAAGCTACTACATATCAAACACCCATATGAATAAAAGGCACCCAGCGCTCATAAGGGACTCCATCATCCCGCAGCTTCCGCACAGCCAGCTGAAGAGCCTTAGCTGTATCTGTGACCTTGGGCCCTCTCCCATCTGCAAACAGATACTGATATACAATCTCTGCAACCACCGGTCCATCCTCATCACACATAGACCACATAGTTCCAATGGCTGCCTGAAATCCGGCAGCAATAAGTCCACCTCCAAGGTGGAATGACTCATTTTGCAGTTCAGGATGCCCCATTGCAGTCTGACATGCAGCAAGAAACACAAACTCTGCATTTGAAAGTGGCATCTTCAGGATGCTTTCCAACTCCAAGGTGCCATCATATAAGTGTAGACAGCTTTTTGGGGGATCTTGGAGATCCTGCGTTCCATGGCATGCAAGGTGAACCCAGGAGCAGTTTTGAAGTTGCTCTTTCACAGCACCTACTGTTGCCTTGTCTCCGACCAGGTTCTGAGTTGTATATTTGCTGCCAGTGATGGAATTGATCTTGGTGATTTCCTTTCTAACTCCAGGAAGTACTGAGACACCTCCGAATTGACTGGTTACTCCAACCAGACCAATTTTTATACTCTGATCAGCAGCCTGCTTAGAAAAGGACTCCAAAAGAGCCCCTGGAGTTGAGGTGTAAGACTGAACAAATTGATCAGATGGAGCTGCAGCATGAAGTGGAAGTCCAGTGAATGCTCCAACTGGGCACCACCACAGTCGGCCTTCACAGATGTTATGCTATAAATATGAGAATAATTAGAATACATTCAACCTTCAATGCACTGAGGAAACTTACATCTGCCAATGCATTAAAAATGTGTTTCACAACATATTCCCAGAGCCAGCTTAGCATGTCTGCGAAACACTCCTGAACTGGCTTCAGAGTTAATACTTTTTGGGCACCAAAAAGCCGAGAGGACTCTGATTGTCGAGTCCTGGAATTACATCTCTCAAGAACAGCTTTGAGAATAGTTTTGTGGAGTTCAAGCTGTACCACAGTAACCTCTTGCAGTTGGATGTGCAATGGGTCTGAGGTGGGGTTCAGAATTGCAATCACATCACAGTGTGTTTGATGGGAGTTGAGGATGAGAATGGGACCATTTTGGGCAGCCTGGCGAAGCTCTGTGTATTCTTTTGGCAGGAGGAAATGGCCCAACCCTGGGAGTACCCGGATCTTGCCAAGAAGCTCGTTTCTGTCAGCAACAATGGTGATGGGATTGTCTAATTGCCTTTGGTACAGCAAGGATGACAGATGTTCAAACTCCTGTGCAAATTGCTTGGGAAGCAAATCAACACCTGTTTTAAGTTGCAACATCTGCTTAAATGTGGTTGCTAGTCCTTGTTCAAGGAACTTTACAGCTAGGCTGAAATTGCCAACATCAACACAGGCAGCTATAGCATTTGATGTTGTTTCTTCAACCCGGTTCCAGGTGTTGGCAGCTTGGTGGACAGATACAGAATGCCCGATCCAAATGATCTCAGGCAGTAAATCCAATGCAGCTGAGAAAGCAGTTATGCGATGAGTGGGTGACATGGCTGTAGAAAAAGCAGCCCAACGAAGAGCAGCAGCCCATGATGCTGCTGGATTGGCAGTGGTAATTTTAAATGAATCAGCATAGCAGCGGTGAACAGCTTCCAGGTCCTTGGGATCCCCAAACCTCTGGAAGCGATCTGTGAAGGACACAGCGAGATTCTGCAGACGTCCAGCCATATCAGGGTGCTCCTTTGGTGTCAGGCTCACAGCTTCTTGGTTGACCTGCAGTGCTGCCTCAAGATCCTTGACTTCTTCCAGTGCTTGGAAGCGATGTGTAAAGGACCGTGCTAGACTCTGCAGACGTCCAGCCCTGTCAGGATGTCCCTTTGGAGTGAGGTTCACAGACTCTTGGTCATTCTGCAATGCTGACTCAAGGTCATGGTAGTTCCTGAACTTCTGGAAGCGATCTGCAAAGGATACAGCAAGACTTTGTAGATTTCCAGCTCTTAGGGGATGATCCTTTGGAGTGAGGTCCACAACCTCTTGTTTCATCTGCAGGGCAGTCTCAAGGTCCCTGGGATCTCCCAACCTCTGGAATCGTTGTCTGAATGAGGATGCAAGAACTTGAAGAGATCGAGTTCTCTCAACATGACCCTTTGGAGTGAGCTCCAGAGCTTCTTGGTTAGTCTTCAGTGCAAGTTCAAGATCCTTGATATCTCCGAATTTTTGGAAGCGATCTGTAAAGGATGTAGCAAGATTTTGTAAAAATCCAGGCCTGGTTGGATGACCTTTGGGAGTGAGGAATACAGATTCTTGATATATGCGCACTGCAGCATCAATGTCTTTCAGATTTCCCAAGGTCCGAAATCGATGACCATAAGATAAAGCAAGACTCTGTAGACATCCAGCCCTGTCAGGATGTTGTTTTGGAGTGATGTTCACAGCTTCTTGGCCATTCTGCAGTGCAGCCTCAAGGTCCTTGTGATTTCCAAATGTCTGGAAGTGCTCTGTAAACATCACAGCCAGATTTTGCAGCCGTTCAGCTCTATCAGCATTGTGGGTGAGGTCAACAGCTTCTTGACCATATCGGATGGCAGCCTCAAGGTCATGTGGATCTGCAAACCTATGAAAGTGGTCCATGAAGCATACAGAAAGACTTTGTAGACGGCTGGCCCTATCGGGATGTCCCTGTGGACTCAGGTCTACAGCCTCTTGGTAATTATATAGTGCATCTTTCAGGTTCTTCAGATCTCCAAATCGTTGAAATCTGTGTGCAAAAGATACACCTAAAATATGTACACATTTACCCCTGTCAGGATGCCCTTTTGGAGTGAGGGCCACAGCCTCTTGGTTGGACTGCAGTGCCAGATCAAGGTCCCTCAGATCACCTGAGCTCTCATATTTTTGTATAAGTGAAGAGGCAAGAGTCTGCAGACGTCGAGCTCTCTGAGGGTGTTCTGCTGGAGTGAGGTCCACAACTTCTTGTTTGCTCTCCAG